GGAATTTTTTTTCCAATATCAGCATATTCCATGTTAAGAAGGCTTCCATTTGACCAGTCCGATATGAGGTGATTATCCAGGACAAGTGTTTGAGGCAAGCTTAGAAATAAGAAGATGTGGTATGAGTTGCAATGAGACAACTTTCAATCCAAGTCACAATCTGTAAAAAGTAAACAATTATAGGTCAACGTACGGTTTTCAACACGGAGCCTTGGTTGACAAAGAACAGCAAGCTATAAAGGGCCCAAAAATGACTAGTGTAAAACAATTCAATCAGGAAAACCAACGGTCTAATCTATATAAAAACGAGAAGCGAGAAACACATCAACAAACAACAACCACTGAACAACAGGTTCCTGACTTAGGACAGGAGCAAACAAATGCAGCGGGTTTAAACGTTTTAACAGGCTCCAACCTTCACCCTAACCTGGAACAGAAGTGTAACATTACAACACAGAAAGACACACTAAAAAATATCAATTGAAATGGCTTAACTCAATCAAAAAGACATATTAACAAAAACAAGTAAACATACATTGAACGAATAAATTTGATCTATGACACAATGTAAAAAATATGTAAAACAATGTCAAAAGACAACTTTAACCTTGGACAAAATGGCGTTAAATAAAATAACGTAAACAGGTAAATTTAAATATAATAATTTTGTAGTTAGGAGTACTGAAATATTTTTTACAAAATAAATAAATTTGTTGTTCATAGTACGAGAACAGAAGTGGAAATTGTCGTCATACTAAATACTTATCAAAGGTGGTACATATTAAAAATTGTGAGACGAGATATAACATTAAATTAACCTTTATTTGTGAAAGAAGTTTCAAAATCCACTCGTTGGAAGATCTCCAGCCATTTTAAGGACCATATCAAATGACAACCAATTCGTGTTTGCAACATAAAAGTTATTCAATGATTATCCTCATTGACTTAACCGAACCATACAAATGAAAGAATATGTGAGATATTCTTCGCTAAGACAGCTACACAACGCAAAAAACAGTCAAAGACATCAAGAAGTTTTCTACATGAGCAAGTGTGTATAAGATATGTCAAGCTCTAAACGACAAAATTATCAAATCATAATACTTTATTTACTTAATAAACTATACAGCTTCAGTGGATCCAGACATGATCATAAGGGCGGAGGGCGGGGGGACTGACTGCCTAAGAGGGGGCCCGCTACAGTCCTGCTTCAGTGATTCCCTAAATAATCAACAAAATTTTTCCCACAAAAGGGGCAGCCCGGGCCACTGAAAACCTCTAAATCCGCCTCTGAGCTTATTGGATCTACACGATATAAATATTTGATAGACAATATAAAATATAATACAACATCTATACATACATTATGAGATACTGAATGAATGAAGCGAAGTATGGCATACAGACATACTAAGCAAGCATCTGAATAATTTACCATTACGTGCCTTTTCTGCAGAGTATAAATATTTTCAAATGTTGTAAATTTCTTTGATATTTCTCAAAGATAAAAGTTGCACTAACTTACAGGACTATGGTATGATTAAGAATATAACGGGATTAAAAAACTAAAATAAGTGTTTAATAAAAGCCGGAGGATAGTAGGATAGTTTTCATAGAATATGCAATAAATTAGAAGTCAATGTTAACACACCATTTACACTTACAAACAAATAAACACAATTTGATTGAAATAAAGATCAAGTGTCAACGCTTCGCTTAAAGGCACTTGCAAGCATCGACTTATGTTTGGCATTTCTATCAAATGAAATAAACACTATTTACTATTACTGGTCATTAGTGATTTTATATTTTTTTGTATACTTTAGAATATAGCAAAGGGCTCGCGACCAATAACATAGTATGATTGGTGTTTTTTAAATGTGAAGAATGGATGTTGGGTATGTTCTTTGTACGGAGTGTCTATTGTGTTCCGGCTAGCCAGAAGAATAGGTAAAAAAAAATTTCCGGCCATCCATTTGCGCATGCAGTGTGATCACAAGTGTCAAGTGGCGCGAAAAGTGTCCCGGATGAGGTGTAGGATTGCAAACGCGCGTATGCAATGGACATTTTGAAAATTTGAGATCGTGTTTTATATTCAAAGATGTCTTAGAGAATATAAGAGAGAATGTGCTTATTTTAAAAACAAATTTCTGCAGGACAGACTTCTGAACAAAAGCGTGAGCATGTAAACTGAGAGGAATAAAGCGAGAAATCACACTGCAATTGCTGATTTATTCCATTACCTGTACCTGTATAAATAGAGGCATACGCATAAAAACAATTCACAGGAAAACGACCAATTCAAATAGACGTGGCTGCATGATTTGTAAGTTCTACTACAACGGAGATCTATGAGCATGCACTGATATGCCTGGGCTGTGAATAGTATACCAGGCTTGGAGTATAAAACCCCTTTTTTATTTTATTCTGTTTTATTTATTTTCCCAACAAAGAAAATATTATGTTTTTGCTATTATAAACACAATCTTACTTTTGGGCAGTTTACATGTGCTTTCCCTTTTTTCTTATTTTCTACGTGTTAAAATTCATCGAACATTTAAAATAAACAATTGTGCAAAATCATTTGACGAATTCATTGGAACCAAACTTCAAGAACATGATAAGTTAAGAATCATAGATGTCCATATAGCCATAAATCACTTTTCCGACTCTTAACCTTGCAAGAAATTCATAGGTAAACATAATCAAAGTACTGAAGTACTGAACATCGGATGACTGCAAGTTCTTGTGGATGGTCACAAGCACTTGTCTCAGAAAGAAAAAAAATCACATTTCTATACCTTAAAGTGAGGTTAAGGTACATAGATATATTTTTTTCTGAGACAAGTTTGTGCGTGGATGATGAATAAATGACATGGAATTCAATCTCACTGTAATAACTATTATATTGTAGTGATAAAAATCGGTATACTCTGTTTTGTTGTTATATATTACATTAATATTTGTATATAACAGTTACATGTATATATAATTTTCATCCATTTGTATATCATTCTATTCTACTATTCTAATAATAGTGCAGTGCAAGTGCATGGTGGACACTTTTCATTAATGATATTCGATTTTTTTAATAGATTGGATTTGAGTAGGAATTGAATTTCATATTTTCCCGCAAAACGTTCTTGAGATATTCTTCCGCATGCGTTAACACAAATTTTCGGTATTCTTGATTTGTTATTGATATATCATATTTCATATCGTTTATCTATGTTCTTAAAAATTATTTTCATGAATATTTATTGATGAAATTGATATATAACAAGCGATAAGGAATGTTATTTTGCGTTCGGTTATCAGTCAAAAATGAAAGAAATGTCTGTGGCAACAATACACCGGAATGCCCTCACGGTCATCCGATGAGGATCGGAGAGGCATTTTTGGCAAACCAGTAAGAAGCACTGAGAAAAAAGTCGGAATATGCTGTATACTATGAAGTAAATTAATTTACATTTTGATTTTAGTGAATGGAAACTTTTTTGGCACAATTTTTTGCAAAGTGACTTTAATTCAAAAGTGTCTTTGCTGCATATCAATCGATGTTGTTGATATTCTTCTTTTAATCTCTCTTAACGAGCGGTTTATATTTACGGAGAATCGGCGTGTTCCAAAGAACAGCCAGTAGAAAATAAATAGAAATTGAAACTTGGAGTTTATTCCCATAATAATTCTGTTTTTATTAAAAAAATTAATCATTATTACTAGTACTTTTTTCAAGAACGTTTTATCTTGAGTTAAACGTCCGCGCGGAGAACGTGAAAAAATGAAAAAAGATTTTTTTGCCACTATATTCTACACTGGATGCTATGATAACCACTTATTAAAACACATATCCATCGCTCATTGCTATTTATGGCTGGATAATATCATAATAGCAGTTTCGGTTTTTCTGGATGGCCGGAGTGGCCTGAAGAATATACGTTTTTTGATATTTTTCCGGTTGGACGGAAGAATAGACACTGCCTTCTTTGTAAGGGGTTATCCCATTGGTTACTAACAGTTCAAAACAAAGAACATAATTTAAATAACACGTAAATCTTTAGTTATAATGCCCTTACCAAAACTCATATTACTGGATCCGTGGTTGGTTAACTAATCATTTCAAAGTTTTTGATACAATGTAAACAGAAAGTTATATTAACTTTTGAATTTCATATGAAAGGTATCTTATTTGAACATTTGAATTGAGGTCAATTTCCTCACATAAGTAGTATTTGATATAAAAAGGGGCATTGGTTGTTGAATAAAGTATAGTTGTAACTCAAATTTGGAAATTTATTGATTTGGACTGTCATAACTGTGAATAAACAAAATGATAATTCCTGACTTAAATATTACATGACTTGCATCCTGCTCCTACTTATACAATCCTACCGTTGAATTAAACTGGTGTGTCATCTAATACACAAATGTCTTAAAATTTGATTTGTTAAAAAATTCTCAAATTTAGAAGACATTCCTTACATCACAAAGACTAATTTATAAATGAAATGTCTTAAAAGGAAGTCTTGCATAGTATCATTAATTAAGGCAACAGTAGTTTACCGATGTTCAAATCTCAAGAAGACAAATCAAGGTTACAAACAAAATCTTAAGGAAGAACATGAACTAAACAAAAGAGCGACACCAGGTGCATCGACAGGGTAAGCGTTGCTTGCTATGCATCTATCATCCGCAACGCCAATTATCAGTCAGTCAAAATGTCACAATCGTGAATAGAACTAAATCGGTAAAATTACAAATTATACGACTGTTATAGTATCTAAAGATCTAAGACTGTCAACTTGAACATGTCGCTAAACAGTTGAGACATAGACATATCATATCGGACAATCAATTTATGATGGTGAGCGTAAAACTTATGAAGTGCCGATTATAAACAATGCACTGATCATGAAACCAGTTGAATAAAGCCAATCAAGATGTCATTTGAGCCTTAAACACTTTACTATATTTTAAGTTTGTAAGAGAATGTTAATGCCTTTAATGTGAACAATATTTGAATTTATTACATAAACATTACAATATGACAGTTTTATTAGGATTGGAAAACAATTAAGTAAATTTTCACTTTTACATATCCTCTCCTAAAATAAAAGATAATGCCTTTCTCCATGATATGAGAGATAATCGTTCTCTTACACATACTCATTTAAATGTTATCATATCATACTAAAAATACAAACACAAAATTCTGTGACCTCAAATTTATTTTCGACTGACAAGTTGTGCAAAGTTCTGTTTTTAATGTATTTATACAAAAATATCATATTTCTTCCATAAAAAAAACTAAACAAGTGGACGACTTGAGGATATTGCTTTTCTTGCAAACTAGTTGTAAGTAGAGCGAAAACTGTGATAGTTGTAGCTTTATCACAAGCAAGGTAATTTTTAACACAGCGCAATCTATTATTAAGTCCAACCAATAGAGTTATCTTCCGTCATAAATCAAATTCTAAAGTACTTTAATTCATTAATTCTTTTTTTTTTTGGTAGGAAACATAAAATCATGAAATTCATACAATATTGAATTTCCAAGCAATTGAATTCCATGTTACTTCGAGTAAAATCTAAAAGCAGTTTTTACTTCATATATATATATGGTTTTATGTCCCTAATTTCTGTTATGCTATTATTATTTAGGTAATTATAGTTATATTTATGCATCATGTAAGATTTTTTGAATTTTTTCTCATTTGTAGTAAAAAATTAGAATTGCATTCTGGATTCTAAAATGAACTTTTTCGGAAGTCCAGTCCATATGATTAATAAACAAAATGATTGGCATGGAATGAACATCATTGCTTGACTGCGATCTTACTTTCAAACATGGTTTCTAATCTCTAATCATATCAATTCAAAACGTGCAGTACACGGTGTCATTTCTCCTTTTACAGTAGCTGTGACAATAAGTTCCGTCCCACCAAAGTGAAAATCTACATTAATATATCGTCTTCCACTTGTTGGGTTTGGAATATCTACAACAAGCTCTCCTAATTTTTCACAACCTTCCTCATCAACATACTCTGTATCATCATTTTCCGACACATACACAGCAACTGTTACCTTAGCCTGGTTCTGCTCATACGTGTGATATTCAATTGATTGTGTGCTTCCCACTGAACAGCGTGTATTCTTTCTCATTAGGAGATCAAAGACATTGGTACAACGAAACTCCCCATCGCTTTCTACTTTTCGATTGATATCGTGTGCCAACTCGTTAAATATTGGACGAATGCGTCGTCCATATGCAAACCTAGTTACCCTTGATGTAACAAAGTCTGGTGTGTGACCAAATAAAACAGCGCCTTTTAAAACTGCAAGAATCGGTTCTTCGGGTGTAACTATATGTTTGCTTTTAAAGGAATCCTTTATAGCCTCTTGTATTATACTTGATTCTGAACATCCTCCAACAACATAAAACGTATCAATTGTTAACCCTTCAATACGTGCGAGTACATTTTCAATTTCCTTCACTATTTTGTCAGTTATGCTTTTAAATTTCTCTCTTGCAAGTGTCATTTGGACCTGTAATACATTGGCTTTGATATGCAAATCGTTTTTATAATCAGATTGACTAACAGCTTCAGAAAATGATCCTTTGCCAAACTTTTTGCAGAGATCATTTAATGCCGTTACTGGTATAGACATATTAATTGTTGCCTTTTTCCTATTACCAACACCCCGTTTAAATATTTCAAGTACCCTTATGAAATCTATATAATCCAAGGTATATTCCTTTTTAAGTCCCTCCATCACATTTTTTCCAACGATAGTTTTTATCATTTGCATAAATTCCCTATCGATACGTGTACCTCCGCAGTCATTTCCTGATGCTGAACATAGCTCTTCAACTTTATCATGAATTATCTTCTTGTGTGCTATGATATCTACGGTTCCACCTGGAAAACACATACATTATATTACTCTTATGAATGAAAGTGAGTAAGACATTCTTATTACTACAATTCAAATACAATTTAAAGGACAAATTTCACTATGCTAAGGTGGATGATACCACAGGGACATTAACAACTCATTAGTCGAAGAGAAAGTGACAACCCTTTGGCAAAAAGATAAAAAACGACGAAAATGCTAAAAATTCGTCTACAAAATACCACGCAGAAAACCAAAGACTGAGCAACACGAACACCCCTCCCCTTAAAAAACCGAGGTTGATCTCAGTAACTATGGGTGGTTGAATGATTCTTTTGATTTGATCTTTTTAGAGCTCTGATAAGGAAAATTAAATTCTCCCTCGCCCTGCTCGTCCGAAATTAAAGTATTTCTACTCTAAATTCAATTGGCTATAAACAAGACACACAGAAAAAGGATTAGTTGCTCGCAGTAACATATTATTTTCTCTTGCAACACAATATGTTATTTTACTTAATTGTACAGATTTCTTCAATTCAAGCAACATATATAAATACATAAAATAAACATAGCAGCAACTGTATATATATATATATACTAATGTGACTAACTTAGATTCGACGTAACTGCGAGTACCTTCGATACTAATACATTTAAATTCCAAACGTTATATATTACCATAAAACCCCACCCGTAGAAACCGCCAAAACTTTTCTCGTGCCTGATGCACCTAACATCAAACTTTATAAATAGTAAGTACTGTTGCAGAACTAGTATCAGAACTAGTTATACTAGTTCCCATCTATAAATAATTACTACAAATAGCAAACGGGAAAATCCAATTTCAAACGAAATGAAATATTTGTCCTTGGTTTGTGTTTTAAATTCCAGTATGAGAATACTGACCTCCAATATCGATAACTAAATAGTTTGCCCCTTGACCAATCTTTGCAATGCTTCTCCCTGCTCCATATTCGTCAATAGTGCGTTGTTTTTGTTGACAATATAACGCCGCTGCTTCAGGTTCTAAGGCTATACATAGTCTTTTACTCTGTATACCGGCCTAAAAAAAATAAATAAAAAGCGACTAATTATGACTAAGTGTTCATCTTACGTAACTCAATAACATAGCTCTCTTTGTTACGTCGTCGATTGATTTAACAAACAGATATCGTATAGGAAAATAGTTATCTACCAAAAGTAGGCGCTTTAATACAAAGTTCAGCAGAGTGGTTAATTTTTAATTTTATAGTTGAGCTTCCTCGATACATGAGACGAATCTATACCGAAGCATCTAGGTTCATCGCTTGATTTTGTTGGGGCTCGTATGATTTACAACCAGATATATAAATTCTAGCACTGCATCGAGTGTGATACGATATTTCTCCATTCGAGACATTTGAATATGTTTCTCGCATGATTTGTAGACTACATGCAGACAAAGTTAATCCTTTTTACTAATGATCTGCAAAAAGATGTGTTCTTTCTGTGTAATATCATCAGGTATGGTCGCCTTTTTTCGTGACGTCACGATAGGAATATCAAAGGAAAGCAAGAACATTTGACGTCATAATTGAAATTTGTCCAATGTAGAACTGGGCCCAGTTGTTCAAAAGTGTTGTTAGGCTAACGACAAGTTAAGCTCAACAACTCGTTGAAGTTTAAAATTAGTCTTAGCTAATTAATGAGATCAAACGAAACACACGTTGATTAAATAAAAATAATCAACAGGTCAGGAAACGAATAAATCGGCTAAGAATTAGAGAAAAGTCTTAATATCACTAAATATTGTTTAAAACTATGTACAACGTGCAGGTTTAAGGTGGCTGGGGGCGTCTTCCTCCATCTTGGATTTTGAAGTAGCGGATGACAATTGGTCTAGATCTTTAATGAAATGTGCAAATTTTGAGAGTAGTATGTAATTCATGTGTAAAACTTTCCAGGTTAATATAGAAAATTATGTGTTTTATCATATTTACGGCTGTATTTACTAAAAAAAACACAATATTTTTGTTTGATTAATTTTTTTTCAACTTTGCCACATAAGGGGAGATAATTTAGATAGAAGGGGAGATAACTCAGATAAAGTAATTTTTATAATAGACGTGTTGTGAAATTACCTATTTTGATATGTAGCAAGAAAACATGTCTGGTGACCCCATTTTTTTTCTTATCTGAAAGCATATTATAAGAGCTATCTTCTCACATTTTATCTTAAAATTCTATGGTGAAGTTTTCTTTTTATCACACAAAATTGGATTTTCCATGCATAATCTATACAAAATCTGACAATTTTGCACAACCTGTAGCGTGAAAAAAGTCCGGTGACCCATACTTTTTAATATTTTGGAAAAAAGCATGATAAAAACTAGATTTTGACAATTATTAAAAAATTCTATGGATTTTAATTAAGAATCCCCATCCACCTTAAAATGGTTATGTTAAGATATAAAAAGAAAATCCAATAGATTGTTTTCTGAAAGATTGGAGTTGGTCCTAAACTGTTATATTGTGATATCTCCTGTAAACTAATTTCCGTTTTGCAAACTATCAAATGTAAGTTGTTTTTATTATGTTGATGACATCTCGATAATATTAAGTATAATGAAACAGTTAACATCCCATTTAGCATGATAAGTAAACTGGTCCGTTGCCAAATATTTCATTGATAATCATTATCAAGTATACAGTTTACAGTATACAGTAAACATGAACGTTTATAACCATTGGAGATTATTAGGTTTTTTACTTTTTCTTACCATCTCTGCGCATCGTCTCATAAAGAGCTTTGATTTTGCACTCCAGATTGCTGGAATAGTCAATACCCATTTTATATCTTGCATTTTGATGTCCCTCATATTTTTCTCTATATGAATAGTCCACAGATGTTCTTTAAGTGCTTTTATGGCTGTCGAAAACACTTCTATCGCTGGCAGAGATTGACCTTTAACATCGTATAACAGCATTTGCTCTGAAACCTCCTATCAAAATATGTTAGATATATGTTGCATAAATACTGTTTTTGGCGAAGAATACTAGCCATCCAATCAGTAGTTAAGGCTTCGGTGTTGGCATGATTTAGTTGATACATTGTGTCTGCATATATTTTATGTTTATGAAATTGTACAAAACCTAAGGTTCGATTTCCCTCGTTATTATGCAAGGTTCCAATTCTAAAGGTGGATGAAATCACATTTTTTTGTAATATAACTGTGGATGTACCCCCTAAACACGAATTGATAGTTGGGATCGGGCACCCCTACTACAAATTATTGTTCATAACACATTTTATTTCCATTGCTGCGTTGTCTGGTATAACTAATACTCGAGTACACTATTATGGATTAGAACACATTTGCTACAAATTAAAATCATCGTTAAAAGTAAATGGGTTTTGTTTGTCCCTTCGATCATGGAAACTTGAAATAAACAGACAGAAAATAATGAGTGAACTTTAAATAAATACCTTTTGCACATGAAGTTCCATTTTAAATCTGTCAAAGAAGAAATAATTATCAGCTTCCCCTGTACTCTCTGTTTGCATGTCTGCGTAATCATCTTCAGCTTCATATCCAAACCTGTAATCGTCTTTGTTTGTCTTGTTTATCATCAAACAAGTTGGTGTTTTAATGGATGCCAGGTGGTATTTTTGACTATTCCATGTTCCATTGGTTAGTATTTCATCAGGTCTATCAATAAAAGAAAACGCATACCCGGAATACGTTGTTCCTAAATCCAATGCAACTACAATAAGCGGACTCGAGATAGCATCCGGGGCAGTATTGTCAGAGGATGTCGCCATTATTCACTACCTTTAAAATTAAACATACAAAGACTGTGTAACTGATAAATAAACACTTCCTTACTTACCATCCGATACAGTTTTACCTACCTGCAAGTTTAAATATACTTCGTGATTGATTTTCTCTTTAAACTGGCATCTTTAACATTTACAATTACTGTTTACTCCTTGCGTTACTAGTTATGCAAAAAACAAAGACCCCCCCCCCCCAAAAAAAAAAAAAAAACACCCAGAAAATTTTGAAGAGTTAACAGTAATATTGCCAGAGATTTAACTCGATTAATCAACAATCAATATTTCAACTTTTTCACTGACTAAAACATATTTTGGACGAAAATGTTGCCCTACCCCTTTTTCCAATGTTTGGGGGAAACTCATCAATGATATCAGGCTAATTTTTTGTACGCCAGACACATGTTTCTTATCCAAAAGATTATCAGTGACGCTCGATTAAAAAGTTAAAAGGTCAATTTGTCTTTAAGTTGTTTGGATGTACAAGTACCCGTCCACGTCCACTCTGTGTTTTTGTTAAGATGTATTTCTATTTCTATCCATCTGATGAGTTAAGCCTTTTTAAACTGATTTTTATAGTTTGTTCTTATGTTGTACTGTTACTCCACTGCCCCAGGTTAAGGGGGGGGGGGGGGGGGTGGTGGCACCCGCTAACATATTTAACCCCGCCACTCTCTGTATGTGCCTGTCCAAAGTCAGGAGCCTGTAATTCAGTGGTTGTCGTTTGTTACTGTGTTATATATTTGTTTTTCGTTCATTATTTTGTACATAAATTAGGCCGTTAGTTTTCTCGTTTGAATTGTTTTAAATTTGTCATTTCGGGGCTATTTATAGCTGACTATGCGGTATGGGCTTTGCTCATTGTTGAAGGCCGTACGGTGACCTATAGTTGTTAATTTCTGTGTCATTTCGTCTCTTGTGAAGAGTTGTCTCATTGGCAATCATTCCACATCTTCTCTTTTAAATTTAGTACCAAGATGAAGAGCATACTAAGAGGACTCAAAATTCTTTCTTTTTCTGTACCTTTTTCAGCCCACCGATCAATATATGGGGGAGGTTTCAGAAAGAAAAAAAAACATGCCACCAAAATTCCGAAAAGTTTTGCCATTTAAGCTAAGGAAGTTCCCGGAGTGGAAACTCCTTAGTATTTCGAAAAATTCAAAGTTTTGTAACAGTTAACTTATAATTATGACTATATCAATGATATGTCATGCCAACACAGAAGTGCTGACTACTGGGTTTGTGATACGGGGATGAAACCTCCACCAGCAGTGGCATCGATTGTGTGGTTGAAAATAAACTCATCATAGACTCCAAGCTTAAAATTGTGTAAGCCAAAAACGAAACCACAACATCTTTTGTATTTCATGTTATTGTTGGTTGGAAGATTTTTTTGTTTGCGCCAAATCTTTGATATTCTGTTAAATTCGATGTCATTCAATTTTTTTTAATCGGGTAGATGATTGAGTAGACACATGTCGTTTAATCTGTTAAACAAACTTTATGTTGAACTTTTATTTTTTGTGTTGCTGTTTTATTGACATACTCCCAATGTTTCCTTAAATCAACATATGACTTGCAATTTGTTTATTTACATGTCACACATGTGAATCATATTTAAACAGTTATCTTATCTGGCTACAGTTAAAAACAAAATGTATATACTGAATAATGAGGGGCCTGATGGGTTATTTTCGTTCTTCGTGATCGGCGCATTTTCGCTATCGTGATCCGTTTTTCTACAGATTTATTACTGTTTTTATATTTTCGTGATCCGTGATCATGGAAATTTATTTTCTGTGAATCGTGATTGATAAAAAAATCAACTCGTGAATCGTGATGAGACCCCAACATCAGGCCCCTCAATAATTTATATTACCTTGTTGACCAATTTTTATTTGATTTTTCTTCTGTATATACTTACGTTATAAGTATAACAGAACATTTGATGTTGTGTTATAATAATTTCTCTAATTCTTCGTCAATTTATCCCTTTCTGCACCCATTGTATAAAAAAAATTTAATCAACGTGTGGTTCGTTTGATCTCAGTTCTTCATTGGTTAAAATCCGATTATGAAGTCGAATTTTCTTGCTTTCCTCTGAATTTCCTATTGTGACGGCATGAAAAAAGGCGACCATGCCTGATGACGTCACATAGAAAGAACACATCTTTTTGCAGATCATTCGAAAAGAAGGAATAAATTTGCCTGCGTTTTGTTTGAAAATCATTAGAGAAACAGATTCCACCACCAAATCTCGTGTTATACGATATTTATCCACTCTCGACAGTTAAATTTTAAATATTTAAAACGCTCGACGAGCCTCGCGTTTTAAATTTGAAAATTTAACTGTCTTGAGTGGATAAATATCGTATCACACTCGATGCAGTGGTAGAATCTATATATATCCTCAATAACCTCCTGTGTAATTTGCGTAATATTTTCGACAAACCAGCAGAAAAGAATGTTCTGGGGGGAAGAGAATTAAAAAAAAATATGGAACAACATGATACGAACATATCGCCAGTTGAAATGATTTTATTTTGTTGGTACCAGAGGGTATATATTTTGTCCAGTATTTAGTGCTTCGATGAGTACAACGACATCTTATGTGAGAAATAGGGCATAAGTGTGATAAATTTCAATTAAAATACGATAATATATTAGAGGTTAATAACACACGTATGCATCTTTGATGATTTTTTATGGGACAGAGAATGAAATTGTCTAAATTAGTGGACAACGTAAGAAAGTCATCCACATATATCACCTCCTTCAAAATATCTTAATATATATATATGAAATACTTATTTAATATAAATGTTGTTTAACTTTGAATATTGTATTCTTGTAAATTTTGTCATGTTTTGAATTGTCTTTGTGACAGTCCAATCTTTGGATTTTATACGAATAAAAAAATTGAATTTGAATTTTGTATGTATTGTTTATGTACTAGTAGTAGTCCATTGTTTTTATTTCGTTCGTAATATTACTTAATATTGTACACTAACTTATTCGATAGTGTATTATTGTTGGACATTTCATGAATAAAATATCAGTGTTTAGTGGAAACCAACAATGTATAAAATTTAAGATTGACCTTTAAAGAAATTATATACAAGCGATGAAATTGAAAATCCAGTAGGAATTGAATGTCTCTTGACGTGAATTTGAAAGAAAGTAATTCTTTATTGTCATTTGGAAAGATAATGAATCAGTCTGTATTTTCATTCTGTTTGTTTCATGGGAATATTCGACATAAGCGTATTTTTGGTCCTTTACGAGTAATGAGACCGAATCGTCATTCAATCTGTTGGGAGCATAGCTGAAAAAAGTAAAATAACAAAAATACCAAACTCCAAGGAAAATTCAAAACGGAAAGTCCCTTATCAAATGGCAAAATCAAAAGCTCAAACACATCAAATGAAAATGAAGCAGACTTGCATTTAATTTGATCTATTAAATTAAATGCAAGTCTGCTTCATTTAATTTAATATATGCTTTTGATCTATTAAATTAAACGAAGCAGACTTGCATTTAATTTAATAGATCAAAAGCATATACCCTGCTCAAACATATTAACTATTGTAACTCTCTCAGTCTAGCACGAAGAAATTATTTTTATGTGAAAATGCATATTTACTGACAGTATCTTTACTTACCTACAATATACTGACGTGCTTCAAGTCAACTGCACATCTGGAAAATACAGTTTTCCTTGTTGTGTATAACTATATATAGAGTGGTGATTCCCAATGTTTATAAATATATATTTATTTTGAGATAGGTTATTTTATCCCATTAGATTTATATGTTCTTTTTTAAGAATCAAAGTTTTTGCACCTGACATAAGAATAATTTGGTCAGACATATTACCAAGGCCCTATTGGCATGGCACATTAAGGCCCAAGTAAATAGAAATATCGAGTAAAACGAGTTAATTGTGCTGTTAGGTCTTTCATGAAGCAAGGAGATCAATACTTTGTGAGGTATTCATCGATAAAAGCCTCTGAGTCAAATTTATTCAGACATGACGGAACACACTTGTCAAATGTTGGAATTGGTATCTTTTTGAAAAACATCCAAGCAGCACTTGAAACCTTCAAACTAAATATCGATAAGTTTTTCCCACCAGAACAGTGACCACGGAGAATGTTTGGCGGTGAATGGGGATTTTATGAGTTCCCTGTTCATTTGGCGGTTCAGGGAGACAATAAACGGACTTAGAACTGTCCCCTTCTGGCACATATCTCTACCCTACCGGCTCTATGTTGGAGGGTATAAAATTATTTCCTAGGGTTCACTCTTGCCATCGAGAGGAATCCCCTCCACTTCTGGTAACAGAAGGGATGTGTCATCTCCGCAGTACACGTAATCCAGGTTGTTTGCAAATAAAAAATTGGAAGGACTGTTATTTTTGCAGAGGTTTCTGTAAACAGAGGGGGGTTCTCCGTACAGTCCATTCTTGCACGTAGGGAGGATATACTTGACACTTACGTTACCATAGGGTCCCCAATATTTCTCCCTGCATGGAACTGAAAAAACATTTTTTATCCTATCAAAAATCCACAAACACATGATGTTGTAAATATTTATATTATTTGCATTTTTAGTAATAAATATTCTGTATTCATTCTACTTTGTATTGTTAGTTGTTAGATTTTTTATAAAGGGCCCACCTACTGCCATATTTAAAGAGGGGGCCCGCTCCAGTCGTTCCCTAAATAATAAACACAATTTTTTCGCACAAAGCGGGCGGGGGGAGAGCCCCCTTGGCCCTCCTAAATCCGTCTCTGCTCGATTCTGCAGGAATTCTTTAGTCATAACGCAATATTCTATCCGTACACTAATATACATCTAAATAATAGATCCAAAAAAATTATACTTTTTAACCCCCTTATCCAAGTATCTCTTGTGAGATTTTCCCCATGAAGCTACTAGTATCGGTTATCATAGTGAAGAACAGATGAAAAATTGATTATCATATATAATCTCAGTTGGGTTTTCTATCATATATTCTCTGGCTATGAGTTAACATCAAAACAATTGAAGCATCTGTTTTAAATGGTTGTAAATTTAATTTAATCTATTGAAATGACTTAATTCAATATAAGAGATAAAAATATTTTATTTTCCAAAGTAGATTCGAGGGGGCATACACATTTAACTAATATAATCTTTACAACATATAGTATTTTACATGACATTCATATATTACACCTACAATATTGCTATAGACATGATAAAGTGATACAGGCTATTATAAGTATTAAGGGTTGCAACTTCAGAGATGTGGATTAATCACCATGATCTCAGTGGCCCCATGATTTTAGACAAAAATTTTGCTACTCAAATACAAAGGGTTTATGGGATGACTAATGTCTTTCATATATTTTTATCCCGTTTAATTTTTTACTTTCGTTGTACAAAAATGTTGTTTGACGATCGTGGTAAATAAGAGAATTAAATAAGGAAGATCTGTATGACAAAAGATTGGTCGGTTACGATGTCGAGACTGAAACCTGGCCCCCGAAGTCTGGGTCGACAATTTCCTTGTTTTCCATATGAACTATGATTAATTTTGTCGTCTGATGGCTTCAATAAGTTCCCGAGGCTACCAGTCGAACATCCGGGTAAAAAGTCACGAGATTTCAACAACATAAATGAAATAATGGTACGATCTTTAAAAGGTGTAAAGATATAATCCACAACCTAGATCAATATATATACGAATATTCCAAAACATTTCTTTCGTTTGGAACAAATATTATTAGAGACATTTTATTTCATGACAAAGGTTCAAATTCGCTGTGTGTGTAGTGCATACACTTTTTAGAAAATAAGCACAAGACAAATAAGAGCTATTTTATCAAACTCGACTGTGGCGGATCAAGAATTTTTCATAAGGGGGCCCACCTACTACCATAAGAGGGGGCCCGCTCCAGTCGTTCCCTAAATAATCAACCAAATTTTTCCCACAAAAGGGGGGCGGGCACCTGGCCTTCCTCCTAAATCAGCCTCTGCTCCATTCTGCAGGAATTCTTGAGTCATAACACAATATTCTATCCGTACACTAATATACATCTAAATAATAGATCAAAAGAGTTATACTTTTTAACCCCCTTATCCAAGTATCTCTTGTGAGATTTTCCCCATGAAGCTACTAGCATCGGTCATTAAAGTGAAGAACAGATGAAATATTGATTATCATGCTTTATATATTTTCATATATTTTGTTTTACTTCTCACATGCCGTGCGTAAGACTGATGTTCGATCGACCGTTGGTGTGATAAATGTAAATGATTTTTCAATTTTACATTGTATGCTTGTTATCAGATTGTCATTCACCATTAATAGTTATTCATATTCAAAGTATAAAAATATTGTCCATATAAGATCATATAGACTTGCTACAATTCCCTTTCTTTTATTTCTTTCATACTAATTTACATGTCTACTGAAAACTGCCATCATACTGAATGCCCCATTATACTCATTGCCCTTCATCTGCAGTTGACAATATAATGGCAGTAAAATTGTTAAATGCATAAAATTGGAAACAAAATTATTAAGAAGGGACAGACATGTAGCAAGTCTAATGATCACACTAACGGTAGTAATTTAACTGTACTAATTGCACATTTCAACAACAAATGTCTCATCAGTGATGATCTAGGCCAAAATATTTGAAACATCAAAAGCTTAATCAAACCGTAAAGAGGCACACCTGTGTCTGTATCGCTCACCTGGTAAAAAAAAATCGAGTTATTAGGACTTTACTATGCACATATGTATGCTTCAATTACTCTTTGTGTTGCTGAACTCTTTAGCAATTTAAATGCTTAACCTAGCTGCTAAAAGTTTTAAGATAAAAGCCAACAACTGCTGCAATATTATAAAAAAACGATATTTCAGAGGCAATAACTCCAAAAAAAGTTATGACAGTTTTCTCCATTTTTCAGGGTGAATACATTTTTTCATGTTGAACCTTTTTATCGTGTCATATTTTCTTCGAAGCAGGTGAACTAGAAATAAATAGCTTATAAACCAAAAAAATAAGACAAAAAATTAGAGCCAAAGCCAGACAGGAAATGAGAGTTTTTACATATTTCTTTTAATATATCGAAAATTCAATTTTATATTGTATTAAAATAGTTATGATATATAATAAAAAATACTTTATGATTGATGGTGAACCATGTCATGAGGTCTAGCATTTTATATTTTACCACTTATTGTGCATTGTTTCATTTTTGTTTTCTTTTATTTCGCTTCATGGTTTTCCTTGTTGTTATGCTCTTTTGGGGGTCAGGCGAGCTAAAAATGAAGACCTTATACACCCACTAAGCCAAAGCAGGACAAGGAATCAGAGCTTTGCATGAGGGAGATACACATCCATAATAATTCTTATAAAAGATAAAAAAAAATCAATTGTATATTGCATGCTTTTTATGCTTTGAGGGGGATCTTGAAAATTGACTTATTTAAACAAGTATTTTTTTTTGTTTTTTTTTTTATTTTAGTGGGTGAAGGCAAAACTGAATCCATTAACTCATATTTTCAACAAAAAAAAACCCGATTTTATTTTGCTAATTAATTATCACTTTATTTCATAATGCTGAAGAAGCTATATGTATGGTTATAACATTATATAAGTTGAAACTCAGCCTTGAGCTCTTCTTGTGTGCCTATTACTCTAGCTGTAACAATGAGTTCCGTTCCCCCAAAGTGATATTCTACATCAACATATCGTCTTTCTTTTGAAGGATTAGGTATATCTACTACAAGCTCTCCTAATTTCTCACAGCCTTCCTCATCAACATACTTAGTATCATCATTATCGGATACATAAACAGCAATTGTAATCTTCTTCTGCATCTCTTCAAACGTGTGATACTGACAATTACAAACCGTCCCTACAGAACAGAATGTATTCTTTTTCATAAAACGTTCAAACACATCTTTACATCTGAATAGTCCATTTGTTTTGACACTTCGTTTCTTGTCATGTTTTGACTCATCGAATACCGGACGTATGCGCCGTCCATATGCATACCTGGTGAATCTGGACGATACAAAGTCTGGTGTGTGACCGAATAGAACAGCTCCTCTTACAACTGCTAAGGTTGGGTCATCAGGTATTATTATTTCTTTGTCAGGGAATGCTTCCTTTAATGCATTCTGAACAATATCCGACTCAGAGAATCCACCAACTAGAAGGAAATGTGTTACATCGGAAGGCTCTGTCTGGCGTAGTGTCATTTGAATTTCTTCTATTATATGTTCTGTAGTATTTTTAAACAGAGATATTACTACTTGTTTGTCCATTTGTAACTTGTCTGAGATTAAAGTCAGAGAATCTTTGTATTCAGAATCTGCTAACATTTGAGTGAAAGATTTTTCTAGGAAACGCTGACATAAAGTATCTAATGCTGCAACGGGAATTTGAAAGTTTATCTTTGGTCTAGAGCTCTTCCGATTACCAATTTTTCTTTTTAGAATTTCGAATCCTCTAACTAAATCAAAATAACAGCTAGTGTATTCTTTTTTAAGAGTTTCTATCACTGTAGGCCCAACTATTTTCTCGAAAATCTCCATAAAAGCTCTGTCTACAGCAGTCCCACCATAAGCTGCACCTAATGGACGACAAAGTTCCCTGACCTTATTGTGAATTTCTTTCTGATGGGCAGTAATATCAAGTGTTCCACCTAGAAAGACAGACATACATTCACATTTCAATAGTGTATAAAAAATGAGATGTTGTATGATTGCCAATGAGATAACTATTCACTAGAGTTAAAATGAAGTGGTAGTAAGCAATTATAGGCTACCGATCTAAAATCGGTTATGAAAGACCTTATGCTTAATAAATATGTAAAAGATTCAGTTTTATTATGTTGTTACATCTAATATCGACAGCTTAATACCTCCGACACTGGCGACTTCTTTCCGATATTGATAACGTACCTCCGATGTTGATAGCGTACTTCTAATATCGACAACTAACCTCCGTTATCATCAACTCACTATCGATAAAGACAATTACCACGACATTGACAACTTAAATAATTTAATTTTGATATCCACAACACTTAAACTACGATATCACCATACAATCTCGTTATAACACCAATATCGACATAACTCCGATATCGACAACTTACCTACGGCATCGGCAAACTGAGATAACGATAACTTAATTTTGATATTGACCAAAAAAATAACTTTAATATCGACAACTTACCTCCTATATCAACGACTATGAAAGATACATTTTGTTGTGCAATTACAGGACCAGATATGGCTCCAGGCTCTTCATCTATTTTACCGAAAACTTACTTCCGATATTGATAACGCATCTCCAATATCGATAACTAACCTATAATATCGATAACTTACCATTAATAATGACAATTTTAAAATACCGATATCGACATTTTTTTTTCAATTGACAAAATATCACCGATATCGACAACATACCACAAATTTCGACATCTTACATTACACATTAACAACTTAGCACTTTGGACGATAACTTTTTTTTTTATATCGACATCATTTTATTTCAAATTCCACAATATAACCCGGATATCGACTTCCTAACACCGATATAGAAAAAACAAACCTCCAATATTGACACCTCCTCTCCGACATCGACAACTCAACTCAGATGACGAGAACTTTACTTTTATACTGACGACGTAATTCCAATACCGACAACTTACCTCCTATATCAACTACTAAGTAAGATGCACCTTGTTTAACAATTATAGGACCAGATATGGCTCCAGACTCTTCATCCATTTTACGGTAAACATGCTGACAATAGATAGAAGCAGCCTCTGGTTCTAAAGCAATACCCAATCTGTCGCCAGATATTCCAGCCTACAACAATCAAATATTCAAAATCATACTCAAAATCTACGAAAGATACGTCTAACCTTTCTTCTAATCAGTATCCAATGGGTATCCGGGGTATAGGCATGAGGTAACTTTTGGTCTTCTTCTGACCGCAAGTAAAGCCCTTGCTAAAGTGCGGCGTCTGTATGGCTGTGCAGGATGTATAAATACGCAGTCACGTCCAGTCAATCTTAAATTGTCCGTTTATAAATTTATAGATTCAGAATTTAGAAACTCACTCAGGCAGAGTTGACCTAAGATGGATTTGGCTATTATTTTAGGTCCTTTTTGTTCATTTGCTCTTTAATTCATTCGGTTCGTATACATCATTGGCTTTCAAATATTTTGCTTTCAGCTTCCCTGATGATGGTAAATCCAGAAAAGCACTTCGGACGCATGAAGTTTATAATTAAGTTCATGTTTTTTGGTTTTTTTTTTCATATTAGATAAACCCTTATATAGATTTTTAATCTTTGTGATTTTTTTCTATTTCTCTGTCAAATAAGTGTACATGACGTTATACTAGTAAAACAACTTTAATAGCATTATTAATTTTTTTCAAATTTCAATTTACTAATCTGTTGTTGTAGCCCATCACAAAGACATGTTTATATCTTCACCCACTGCTGGTTGACTTGTTTGTGTAATGTATACCTATTTACTCCCACTGCTGGTTGACTTGTATTTGTAATGTATACCTATTTACTCCCACTGATGGTTGACTTGTATTTGTAATGTATACATATTTACTCCCACTGATGGTTGACTTGTTTGTGTAATGTATACCTATTTACTCCCACTGCTGGTTGACTTGTTTGTGTAATGTATATATACCTATTTACTCCCACTGCTGGTTGACTTGTATTTGTAATGTATACCTATTTACTCCCACTGCTGGTTGACTTGTATTTGTAATGTATACCTATTTACTCCCACTGCTGGTTGACTTGTATTTGTAATGTATACCTATTTACTCCCAATGCTGGTTGACTTGTATTTGTAATGTATACCTATTTACTCCCACTGCTGGTTGACTTGTATTTGTAATGTATACCTATTTACTCCCACTGTTGGTTGACTTGTATTTGTAATGTATACCTATTTACTCCCACTGCTGGGTGACTTGTATTTGTAATGTATACCTATTTACTCCCACTGCTGGTTGACTTGTTTGTGTAATGTATACCTATTTACTCCCACTGCTGGTTGACTTTTATTTGTAATGTATACCTATTTACTCCCACTGCTGGTTGACTTGTTTGTGTAATGTATACCCTATTTACTCCAACTGCTTGTTCGTCTAATGTATACCCTATTAGCTCCCACTGCTTGTTGACTTGTTTGTGTAATGTATACTCTATTTACTCCCACTGCTTGTTCGTGTAATGTATACTCTATTAGCTCCCACTGCTTGTTGACTTGTTTGTGTAATGTATACCCTATTAGCTCCCACTGCTTGTTGACTTGTTTGTGTAATGTAAACCTATTTACTCCCACTGCTGGTTGACTTGTTTGTGTAATGTAAACCCTATTTACTCCCACTGCTGGTTGACTTGTTCGTGAAATGTAAACCCTATTTACTCCCACTGCTGGTTGACTTGTTCGTGTAATGTAAACCCTATTTACTCCAACTGCTGGTTGACTTGTTCGTGTAATGTATACACTATTTACTCCCACTGCTTGTTGACTTGTTCGTGTAATGTATACCCTATTAGCTCCCACTGCTGGTTGACTTGTATTTGTAATGTAAACCCTATTAGCTCCCACTGCTGGTTGACTTGTATTTGTAATGTATACCCTATTTGCTCCAACTGCTGGTTGACTTGTTCGTGTAATGTAAACCCTATTTACTCCCACTGCTGGTTGACTTGTTCGTGTAATGTAAACCCTATTTACTCCCACTGCTGGATGACTTGTTCGTGTAATGTATACCCTATTTACTCCCACTGCTGGTTGACTTGTTCGTGTAATGTATACCCTATTTACTCCCACTGCTTGTTGACTTGTTCGTGTAATGTATACCTATTTACCCCCACTGCTGGTTGACTTGTTTGTGTAATGTATATCCTATTTACTCCCACTGCTGGTTGACTTGTTTGTGTAATGTATATCCTATTTACTCCCACTGCTGGTTGACTTGTTTGTGTAATGTATATCCTATTTACTCCCAGCGCTTGTTGACTTGTTTGTGTAATGTATACCCTATGAGCTCCCACTGCTGGTTGATTTGTATTTGTAATGTATACCCTATTTGCTCCCACTGCTTGTTGACTTGTTTGTGTAATGTATACCCTATTTGCTCCCACTGCTGGTTGACTTGTTCGTGTAATGTAAACCCTATTTACTCCCACTGCTTGTTGACTTGTTCGTGTAATATATACCCTATTTACTCCCACTGCTTGTTGACTTGTTCGTGTAATGTATACCCTATTAGCTCCCACTGCTGGTTGACTTGTATTTGTAATGTAAACCCTATTTACTCCCACTGCTGGTTGACTTGTTCGTGTAATGTTTACCTATTTACTCCCACTGCTTGTTGACTTGTTTGTGTAATGTATACCCTATTAGCTCCCACTGCTGGTTAACTTGTATTTGTAATGTATACCCTATTTGCTCCCACTGCTGGTTGACTTGTTCGTGTAATGTAAACCCTATTTATACCCACTGCTGGTTGACTTGTTCGTGTAATGTATACCCTATTTACTCCCACTGCTGGTTGACTTGTTCGTGTAATGTATACCCTATTTACTCCCACTGCTGGTTGACTTGTTCGTGTAATGCATACCCTATTTACTCCCACTGCTTGTTGACTTGTTTGTGTAATGTATACCTATTTACCCCCACTGCTGGTTGACTTGTTTGTGTAATGTATATCTTATTTACTCCCACTGCTGGTTGACTTGTTTGTGTATTGTATATCCTATTTACTCCCACTGCTGGTTGGCTTGTTTGTGTAATGTATATCCTATTTACTCCCACTGCTGGTTGACTTGTTTGTGTAATGTATACCTATTTACTCCCACTGCTGGTTGACTTGTTTGTGTAATGTATACCCTATTTACTCCCACAGCTGGTTGACTTGTTTGTGTAATGTATACCCTATTTACTCCCACTGCTGGTTGACCTGTTTGTGTAATGTATATCCTATTTACTCTTACTGCTGGTTGACTTGTTTGTGTAATGTATACCTATTTACTCCCACTGCTTGTTTACTTGTTTGTGTAATGTATACCTATTTACTCCCACTGCTGGTTGACTTGTTTGTGTAATGTATACCTATTTACTCCCACTGCTTGTTGACTTGTTTGTGTAATGTATACCTATTTACTCCCACTGCTGGTTGACTTGTTTGTGTAATGTATACCCTATTTACTCCCAATGCTGGTTGACTGGTTTGTGTAATGTATACCCTATTTACTCCCACTGCTGGTTGACTGGTTTGTGTCATGTATATCCTATTTACTCCCATTGCTGGTTGACTTGTTTGTGTCATGTATATCCTATTTACTCCCACTGCTGGTTGACTTGTTTGTGTAATGTATACCCTATTTACTCCAACTGCTGGTTGACTTGTTTGTGTAATGTAAACCTATTTACTCCCACTGCTGGTTGACTTGTTTGTGTAATGTATATCCTATTTACTCCCACTGCTGGTTGACTTGTTTGTGTAATGTAAACCTATTCACTCCCACTGCTGGTTGACTTGTTTGTGTAATGTATATCCTATTTACTCCCACTGCTGGTTGACTTGTTTGTGTAATGTTTACCCTATTAACTCCCACTGCTGGTTGACTTGTATTTGTAATGTAAACCCTATTTACTCCCACTGCTGGTTGACTTGTTCGTGTAATGTAAACCCTATTTACTCCCACTGCTGGTTGACTTGTTCGTGTAATGTAAACCCTATTTACTCCCACTGCTGGTTGACTTGTTCCTGTAATGAATACCCTATTTACTCCCACTGCTGGTTGACTTGTTTGTGTAATGTATACCCTATTTACTCCAACTGCTGGTTGACTTGTTTGTGTAATGTAAACCTATTTACTCCCACTGCTGGTTGACTTGTTTGTGTAATGTATATCCTATTTACTCCCACTGCTGGTTGACTTGTTTGTGTAATGTAAACCTATTTACTCCCACTGCTGGTTGACTTGTTTGTGTAATGTATATCCTATTTACTCCCACTGCTGGTTGACTTGTTTGTGTAATGTTTACCCTATTAACTCCCACTGCTGGTTGAGTTGTATTTGTAATGTAAACCCTATTTACTCCCACTGCTGGTTGACTTGTTCGTGTAATGTAAACCCTATTTACTCCCACTGCTGGTTGACTTGTTCGTGTAATGTAAACCCTATTTACTCCCACTGCTGGTTGACTTGTTCGTGTAATGTATACCCTATTTACTCCCACTGCTGGTTGACTTGTTCGTGTAATGTATACCCTATTTACTCCCACTGCTTGTTGACTTGTTCGTGTAATGTATACATATTTACCCCCACTGCTGGTTGACTTGTTTGTGTAATGTATATCCTATTTACTCCCACTGCTTGTTGACTTGTTTGTGTAATGTATATCCTATTTACTCCCACTGCTGGTTGACTTGTTTGTGTAATGTATATCCTATTTACTCCCACTGCTGGTTGACTTGTTTGTGTAATGTATACCTATTTACTCCCACTGCTAGTTGACTTGTGTAATGTATACCTATTAGCTCCCACTGCTTGTTGACTTGTTTGTGTAATGTATACCTATTTACTCTTACTGCTGGTTGACTTGTTTGTGTAATGTATATCCTATTTACTCCCACTGCTGGTTGACTTGTTTGAGTAATGTATACCCTATTTACTCCAACTGCTGGTTGACTTGTTTGTGTAATGTAATCCTATTTACTCCCACTGCTGGTTGACTTGTTTGTGTAATGTATATCCTATTTACTCCCACTGCTGGTTGACTTGTTTGTGTAATGTTTACCCTATTAACTCCCACTGCTGGTTGACTTGTATTTGTAATGTAAACCCTATTTACTCCCACTGCTGGTTGACTTGTTCGTGTAATGTAAACCCTATTTACTCCCACTGCTGGTTGACTTGTTCGTGTAATGTATACCCTATTTACTCCCACTGCTGGTTGACTTGTTCGTGTAATGTATACCCTATTTACTCCCACTGCTGGTTGACTTGTTCGTGTAATGTATACCCTATTTACTCCCACTGCTTGTTGACTTGTTCGTGTAATGTATACATATTTACCCCCACTGCTGGTTGACTTGTTTGTGTAATGTATATCCTATTTACTCCCACTGCTTGTTGACTTGTTTGTGTAATGTATATCCTATTTACTCCCACTGCTGGTTGACTTGTTTGTGTAATGTATATCCTATTTACTCCCACTGCTGGTTGACTTGTTTGTGTAATGTATACCTATTTACTCCCACTGCTGGTTGACTTGTTCGTGTGATGTATACCTATTTACTCCCACTGCTGGTTGACTTGTTCGTGTGATGTATACCTATTTACTCCCACTGCTGGTTGACTTGTTTGTGTAATGTATACTTATTTACTCCCACTGCTGGTTGACTTGTGTAATGTATACCTATTTACTCTCACTGCTGGTTGACTTGTGTAATGTATACCTATTTACTCCCACTGCTGGTTGACTTGTGTTATGTATACCTATTAGCTCCCACTGCTGGTTGACTTGTTTGTGTAATGTATACCCTATTTACTCCCACTGCTTGTTGACTTGTGTAATGTATACCTATTTACTCCCACTGCTGGTTGACTTGTGTAATGTATACCTATTTACTCCCACTGCTGGTTGACTTGTGTAATGTATACCTATTAGCTCCCACTGCTTGTTGACTTGTTTGTGTAATGTATACCTATTTACTCCCACTGCTGGTTGACTTGTGTAATGTATACCATTGTTCGACCACCAGATAAACATCGTTTTGATACCAACATGAAATTACAACAGTGTTTCCTTATGTTTGTGGCTCACAATTTCCCCCATTTCCCCGGTATTAGTGGGGTTGGTGTTGCTCACAATTTACCCCATTTCCCCGGTTTTAGTGGGGTTCGTGTTGCTCAGTCTTTAGATTTCTGTATACTGTTGTTTATATTTTCGTCGTTTTTGGTTTTTTGCCATGACGATGTCAGTATGTCTTCGACTTATATTATGAGTTTTGAATGACTCTTTGGTATGCATGTATTTACAGTTAAAAGTGATAAAACTTTCATTATTTATTTCTGTTTAGTATGTATTAATTGTAATCATGTTTCTATACCTTCTCTGCTGATAGCCTCATGAAAGTTTTTGCCTTGTCTGTCCAAATAGCGGGGACAGTAAGAACCCATTTTATGTCCTCTAACTTTATATGGTTCCCTCCTCTTTCGACATGTTTTAGTGCGTGGTCTTTAAGTGCTCGAATTGCCGTAGAGAAGACTGCTATAGCCGGAAGTGAGCCTCCTCTTATATCAAAAATCTTCATGCTTTCTGATACATCCTGGAATTAAGTGTTGGAACATAATTGTTAAAATCATAAACACTTGTTAATGAACGGAAAAAATTATAAAAAAATAGATATGTACCATATTTTAAAACAAGATGTTCGGCACTCCTCCTTTCCCTTTATATTTTTCAATTAAAATCAACTTATAAATGATATGTATATATAAATTTAGATAGAAAGATTTATTTCAATTTAATATCAATGTTATTATACAATGTTAAATACACAAATAAACAATCACAAATGCAAGCTAAAAATTCAGACTAATTTATACAGTTGGAAAATTTCGTCAAGATGATAATTATGATTCAGATGCGGATATAGGATTTTAACGGGTCGTCCTGACAAGCAATCGTTTGGGTTGATGATAAGGTGCCGGGCCCCCTGTCCCACCCCCTAAATCCGCCTCTTTGATTGTCATTAATTAATTAAACATGCCCACAGGTGCTGCCATTTAGCGTTGTTAGGCTTATCTCCAAAGGGCTCTTATAATTAGTGGTACATGTATAACAATCTAATGACACCATAAAAAATAAAACACACAATCTTGACATCATCATATATACGAAGAAAAAACTCTGATTTTTTAAAAGATGATTTAAATATTATGGTCTTATTCTGGTAACATCCATATCAGATCTCCTCACATGATAATAGATTATTTGCCGAACATACATACACGGATCAAAACGAAGATAAAAAAATGCCTACTTTACGTAAATGAAGTTGCATCTTAAATCTGTCAAAGAAGAAATATCTATCCGTCTCGTTGTCTGTTTGGATGTCTGCATATTCGTTTTCAGCATCATATCCAAAAAAGAACTCTTCTGCATTGTCTTTGTTGATAACAACGCACGTTGGTGTTTTGTACGAGTTCAGGTGATATTTTCCACTATCCCATTGCTGGTTTGCATAAATAACATGCGGATTTTTACGGAAGGAGAATGCATACCCAGAGTATGTGGTACCGAAATCTAATGCCACAACCATCAATGTACTGTCTCCAGGAGTGGTAGTAATGGACGAATCGTCTGCTGTAGCCATGTCAATAGCAAGAATAACCTGTTATAGAAAGACTTTCAGCTTACACATTAATTTACGTCAATCTTACATATTTTAAAACTGCTATATATTTATAATTTACACTGCAATGATAAGTAAATATTCTACGAATTATAAAACTGTTAGTGCAAAATTTACTCAAATAGGTTTTTTTAAATGATAAAAGACTGTTTTCCGGAGTTTCATGTACAAAATATTGCAATATAATCTAATTGAAAAAGAAACAAATACTAACTAAAAATTGTAATTTGCCAACATGTACGTCATTTGCCGGGTCTCTGGTGGATAGTATAGTTATATTAGAAAGGAGCGAACCGATTAAAATGTTTTTCATAGTTCAAGTTCAAGTTCAATAGTTTATTATAGTCTCACCACATACATACAAGTATAAACACAATATGACATTTACATGTTATACACAATATAAAAATTTAGAATGCATGTGCCATTCTTAAAAGAACTATGAGAGACTGTTATATACAATATTAAAACATCAGAATAAAACATAACTTTGCTATTTACACAAAACATAAAAGTGCAATATATATCACCATGCACATTCAAGGATAAAAATGATACATGTACATGTACATAAAAATATAATTTTCAAATTTCAACGATATAAAATACCATTTCGTCGCAATAAAATGTTATGGCAGGTTTTGGCAACAGAACTACAAACATTTTCATTTTTTAATAAAAAAATATAAATTTTTCATCATCTGATAAAGTTAAAACATATTATTATCATATCTATGGCATCAAAGCTTGAAAGACTAAAATTTCTATGAACATTAATTGTTTGTTATTCTTATTTCATTGGTAAGGGCAGTGACGGATCCAGGGGCCGTAGAGGGCGTACGCTCCCCACCTCTAATCACCAAAAAAAATATTATATAATGTTTTTTTATGATTTATATGATTTTTTTGCAGAAAACAGTCCAAAAATTGTTCGCCTCGCTTCGTTCGGCGGTATACATAAACCGTTTTATGGAATTACTATTATGACATTATTGTATTATCAAAAACCCAAGAAGGGCTACAGAATACACTGAATGAGTTAACTAAATATTGTTCCCTTTGGAAACTTGATGTAAACAAACAATAACTAGTAAAAAATAATGATATGCAATTCTAAGGGGAAATCACATTGTAATTATTTTAAAGTAGAAAATGAGCATCTTGAGACCGTTAAATCTTATTGTTACCTTGGAATAATTACATTACATGTATGTTTCATTATAATACGTTATTTTGATTGGCTAACAGCAATCTCGCGTCATTCTGAAATAAACCTTCATTTCATAACTTCCACAATAAAGTGCACAGGTAAATAAAAGAAAAACTTGATAGAAATCGTGTTTTCATGATCATAGCAAAAAAATGTAATTATAAGTATTGAATGCTTCTTTTTGTAAATTTATTGGGGTGTAAAACCGTCGACCGAAGTACATTTTGTATGAAGCGCGGAAGTCATGAAAACACGACTTCTATCAAGTTTTTCTTTTATTTACCTGTGCACTTTATTGTGGAAGCTCGTGTCATCCTGAATGTTACATTTCATTTTGAAATGAATGTTTATTTCAGAATGACGCAAGATAGTTGTTAGCCAATCAAAATAACGTATTATAACGAATCGTACATAACGTATTATAACGAATCGTACATGTAATGTAATTATTTCTTAAATAACAAAAAATAATTCAGGCAATTAAAGTCCTTCCAAAAAAAATCTTATGGAAAAAGGAAGAAAAGCTTGGTTTAAAATTAAAAAAAACCCAGTATCTTTAGATAATTCTTGCAGTATGCTTGAAAATTATTCGACACTTTAAATGTCCCAATCACTCTTTATGGAAGTGAAGTATGGGGTGTAAGCAAAGTGTTCAAAGATTCAGATCAATTTGTACATTTACATATAAAATTTATTAAGGAAATTTTAGGGGTACAGTGCAAAACAACAAATGTAAAATTGTGAATGGAGATGGGGATTATGTCAAAGAGACAACAACCCGACCAAAGAGCAGACAACAGCCGAAATCCACCAATGGGTCTTCAACGCAGCGAGAAAATCCCGCACCCGGAGGTGGTCCTCAGCTGGCCCCTAAATAAAATTGTGTACTAGTTCAGTGAAAATGGACGTCACACTAAACTCCAAAACATATAAATGAACTAAAATTAAAAAACACACAAGACTAACAAAGGCCAGAGGCTCCTGACTTGGGACAGGCGCAAAAATGCGGCGGGGTTTAACATGTTTTGTGAGATCTCAACCCTACCCTATACCTCTAGCCAATGTAGAATAAAGAAACACATAGCAATACGCACAGTAAAACTCAGTTTAAAAGAAGTCCGAGTCCGATGTCAGAATAGGTAACAAAAGAAACTAAGCAAAATGACAATGCTACATAAATGAACAAAGGACTACTAGCAGTTACTGACATACCAGCTCCAGACCTCAATTAAACTGATTGAAAGATTATGTCTTTATCATATGAAAATCAAGTACAATCCCTCCCGTTAGGGGTTTAGTATCATACCATCATAAAATATATGAGAACATAACCCGTATCATGGCAACAACTGGTTTTAGAATAAATGTGTTTATTTCCGATGCAAAGACCCTATGAGTGAATCAATATTAATACCAAAATATGCAATCCTTAATGACTTGACAACAGTATCGTAACTACATCCTTTCCGAATAAGTCTGTTTAAAGGTTTGGTTAGCTTTTGAGGTGAATGCCGACATTTTTGTGCTTTGTAAAGAATATTACAATAAAATATTGGATGTGAAATACCTGAACGTATAAGATGTCTGCATGTTGATTTATATTTACGAATGATGTCCTTGTACCGATGATAAAATTTAATAAATGTTTTGACTAGTTTGTGATATCGAAAACCCTGGTGTAATAATTTTTCAGTAATTCAGAGATTTCTTTCGTTGAAATCAAATACGTTGTTACATACACGAGCGAATCGAACAAGTTGAGATATATATAAACACCATAAGATGGCGACAAAGGAACGTCACCATCTAAAAAAGGATAATTAACAATAGGAAATAAAAAATCATCTCTTTTATCATAAATTCTGGTATTAAGCTTCCCGTTAAAGATAAAGATATCAAGATCCAGGAAAGGACAGCGTTCATTGTTAGTATTAGCTTTATTTAAAGTTAGTTCGGCAGGATAAATCTCTTTAGTGTACATACTGAAGTCGTCATTATTGAGAGCCAATATATCATCTAAATATCTAAAAGTGTTATTAAATTTTTGAATCAGATGTTGTTTCGATGAGTCTTTGCTGATTTTAGTCATAAATTGTAACTCATATATTTAAACAATACAGAAACAGGTCCGCAATAAGTGGTGCACAGTTAGTCCCCATGGGAATTCCGATAACCTGACGATATACGGAATCTCCATAGCGAACAAAAATGTTATCTAGTAAAAATTCAAGGGCAGTTATAGTATCAAAGCAGGTCCAATTGACATAGTTCTTTTGTTTGTTGTTACTAAAAAATGACCTAAAAGAGTAGCTTGTCTAGCTGAGACAAACAGAACTCCTTTGCACTTAAAAATTCAGCTTTCAGCTATAAAATTTCTAAACCACATTGTAAACTCACCTAATTCATCAGTTCATATAAAATATATAATAATGTAGAGAAAACAAGTAAATGGGTTAACATTGTAAAAGACTGGTTAATGGTTAAACAGATTAGGTTTTGGCCATCTTACTTTTGATTCCAGTAATATAAATTATTATATAAATACTATCCAACAAAGAATCGTTGAGGCTAGGATTATCAAATTATGAACTGTTCTATCCTTAAACGTGAAAAACTAAATTTCTTTTGTAAGACTAAAAAAATTGAAAAAGGACCCGTATATCGATATATGTAAATTAAAAAACTGACATATCAGTTTTCAGTAAATTTAAACTCAGTGCCCATTCCCTAGCAATCAAAAGGGGGCGTTATACCAACATTGAAAGAAAACATCGCATTTGCCTATCCTGTAATAGGCAAGAAATTGAGGATGAATACAATATCTTTTCAGTCTGTCCATGTTATATATCGAGGGATACCTTTATACAAAAAATTAATACTAATCATAATTTCAATGTTAGTAAATTCCAATCAGCTATAACACTGAGGCAGTCATTATAAAAATCACCACAAATATATTAATGATTGTCTTTTATTGAGAAGATCTGTATAATTTTTATTTTTTTATTTATTTATATGTATCCTTTTTGTTCATAGATATAGGAAGATGTGGTATGAGTGCCAATGAGACAACTCTCCATCCAAGTTACAATATATAAAAGTAAACCATTTTAGGTCAAGGTACGGCCTTCAACACGGAGCATTGGCTCACACCGAACAGCAAGCTATAAAGGGCCCCCAAAAATTACTAGTTGGACATTAATAATTGTTTATCTGTCAATACACACATATTTGTAGTCTTCTTGTTCATGTGAATACCACTGTCACTCTAAATTAATTATTATCAGTTTATTATTTCAATTGTACTATACTGTATGCCATTACCATTTAATGTAAATGATAATGTGTTTGTGCTAATAAATATTGTCTATTTAAACAAAAACATGTATACACATTTAAACAAAGTGTAATAGACAACACATTTAGTCTTTTGGAAGCCACTGTGACCTGGATAAATATTAATCTCACGGTAAACATTTTCAGTAGGTCACAAGGTCCCGTATGCAAATTGCCTCAGGTCACCAGGTCACTTTTAAGCAAGCTATACAGTTCTATTAACTGATCTGAAGTCGGTTTCACAAAAAAACTTACGACTAAGATTGATCGTACTAGAGATTTACAACAACTGTCGGACTCGGAGTCCGAGTAAGACTACAAATTATACAGGTAATCTCATAATAATTTGAACATTTTACCGTGCTCCATTTTTGCGTGGTGATAGGACAAACCCATTTATCAAATTAATTTACGTTTTGTTTTTCTTTTTACGAAGGGCAGAAAAGGCGCTTTTTCGTTTACGCTCGCTAAGAGATCTGTATAGAATTTTAAACTTTCACAACATTTAGGCAACAACCATTTTTGCTCCTGTTATCTGATAATTTTTATCGTTTACATTAAAAAAAAAACTCCTTTTTAAGTTAAATGGTCCATCATAACTGACGAATTATTTAAAGGGAATTCAATAATACATGTAATGCGACTGTTTTTTTTAAATTTTAATTGGTTAGTTTTTTTTTTATATTTGTTTCCACTGTGTATAGTCTTGGAAGATAGGATAAACATTTTCAATTGAAAGATTGCTAATTGTATCAAACCTTTTGGGTTAGGGTTAGAAATATCCAAACAGCATGCATTTAATTCTTTAAACTTATAAGTCATTCCAGTCATCATCCCTATCAAGTAAGCTGTCCGAGGGTATCATCAGCTCAGTAGTTAGTACTTCGGTACTGACATGATTTATAACAAACCATCTGAAATTGCCCGTTTATAAATTTTGAAATTATACAGAAACTAAGGTTTCAACTCCCTCAGGCAAAGTTGGCCTTAGATGGATATGGCTATTTTTTTAGGTCCTTTTTGGTTTATAGCTCTTCAACGTTTTCGGTCCTTATACATTCTTGGCTTTCAAATATTTGGCATTGAGCGTTCCTGATGAAGGTAAATCCAGAAAAGCGCTTCGAACGCATGATATTTATAACATGTTGTTTTCATTTTTTTGCAACTGTTTGTCTGATTTTAGAAGTGAACAAAAATAACAGAGAATCATACGATGCTTTTTTTCAAATAGACAATTCCACAAAATCATTAACATTTCAGCTATTCAGATCCCAGTATCCTTTTTGAATTGTTTATTGACAAATCAATTGAAAGAGTGTTCTATGTGCATTTCATCAAATACTTTCAGAAGGGAAAAATAAAATTGACCAGCAAACATACAATATATATAAATAGAAATAGAAAGGGCAGAAAGAATCAAAACGACGGGAGTGAGTAGCGTGTGGGAGGAACATGGAAAATACATGAAGTGGATGTACCTATAGGAAAAAAATATACTTATTTGATAATATACAGCCAACGAAAATGTTATTTTATTTTTGGAACTGACATTAAGCTTTCTGTATGATTGTTTGACTTTTCGCAATTCAATCTTCCAGAAAACAAGAACCACTTAACACAAATACACGATGAACAAAAAAAAAACTCATGCTTTAAAGGAGCATCAGGATTAGGTTAAATGCATGTATTTGTTGATGTGGTTCATAAGTGTTTCTCGTTTCTCGCTTTTTATATAGATTAGACCGTTGGTTTTCCCGTTTGAATGGTTTTACACTAGTAATTTTTGGGGCCCTTTATAGCTTGCTGTTCGGTGTGAGCCAAGGCTCCGTGTTGAAGACTGTACTTTGACCTATAATGGTTTACTTTTATAAATTTTGACTTGGATGGAGAGTTGTCTCATTGGCACTCATACCACATCTTCTTATATCTATGATAAGAAATTGCGTTGTTTTTCATTTTTGATAAATATAATAAATAAATAAATAAATAAATAAGACCTGTTGTTTTTATAATTTTGTTTCACTTAATATATGCAAAACGACAACGTTGAACCAAAAACAGTACTTTCAGATGAATATAAATCAACACCGAGGTTTTTAAACAATTTGGGAACCTGTTATGTAGAAAAAATAACTCTGGTTGTAGCATTATCAGTGGAAATTTGTTCCGCTTTCGCTGTAGCATCGTCTGCATTGAAATCTCCATTATCAGGCCCATTTTCCTTTTCTAATGTCATGAGAACTCTTTGGAGGTATCCTCGTCACAAACTAAAAAGTCCTAGTTGAAGTTTGTAGTAGTTTTGTCAATTGCCGAAAACAAGTTTTCAATTAATACTATAATGATTAAACCACAATGCTTACAATATTTTAATTATTTTGGGATCATACCCGTCATTTAATCAGTCTTATTCTGACTCGTATTCGGAGACGAATCGATCGGAGTCATACACTTATTGTAAATCTCTACTAGTCATGAACAATTCAGCATACTTACGACAATGTTAGTCGTACGTTGTTTTTTTTTTTGTGAAACCGACTCATGATTCTCGATTTTGAACATTTTAAAGGTCACACTGTCACAGGTCCTTTTATAGACAAGACAATATTTTATTGGCACAATAAATGGTATAATGACCGAATGGATAAACATGGTAGTAAAATGCAAACAATTATGTGAATATAAAATACATGTATAATGAAAATCTATTGCAATAGATTACTTCTCGCTTTGAAACAATTTGTTACGAAAGAGGAAGATAGTTTTAGTGCCGTGTAAGAATGATTATTAAGTATAAGCTTTATTTTATATATATCGTACAAAGGGGTTCTACTTTTTTTAGTGGTTTGAACATTTTGAATTCAAAAGTCTCTCTGATATTGGAGTATCCTCCACAATGTAGTCGCATGTGCTGTTCATTTTCAATTTCACCACTTTTGCAGATTTCACAAATTATTTGACCCCTGGGCACTTTTAAATATCTTCCTCTTTCAATGGCAAGGTTATGAGCACTTACTCTTAATTTACATAATGAGGATCGATCTGATCTATTTCTTAAAGCATCAACATAAGCTGCACGTTCACTCATTTTGAAAACACTCTGGAAAAATGTTAATTTTGGAGATGCTGAAATATTTGCATGTTGTTCTTGAAAACCCTGGTCAATTATTCTTTGTTTTATAAAACCAAAAAGGGACTTAATAGTGGGTTTAACGTTTGACAAATATGATAAACCTAAACTTTGAATAATAATATTTAACATTTTTACCCAAGGGTTGCTCATTTTTGTGGCATTATATATTTGGTGATCTAAACTTCCTTCTGAAGTGATTACTAAATGGTCCCAGAATTTAGTGCTGGATAACATTATCCTATTTTTTAATGGCAGCCTGGCAAGTTCGGTACGACATGCATCATTCGAGGCCTTACAGTGAACTCCCAAGATTTCTTTGATGAACTTTATATGTTATTTTTCATATGTATCAGACAGTGTCTTTAAACGTCGAGATAATTCCCCAATTTTGCTACAATAAAAGAGAATAGGGGCTACTGAAGAATCAAAAAAGTTTTTCCAGAAGTTTACATGGGTTATCTAATCCTATATGTTTTCTTTACTCTAAAGAATGCTTTCCTAGATTTTTCCATAAGCGAAGTGATGGCGACATTAAAACTGGCGTTATATCCAATATTAATACCCAAGTAACAATATATAATTACTAACTGTCTCTAGGGTTTCGTCATTATAATAAAATTCGTTAATAAATGACTTTCCATTTGAATTGAAAACCATTACTTTTGATTTCTCTGTATTTACTTGTAAAATTGTTTCCAAGAAGAGCAATAATTACTTATATATGAGATGTCAGGTCGCAAGGTCGCCGCAAAACCCCTGTTATTTGACCATGTTGGAGTCACCTATTTGGCGACATTTTAACTTTCACAATGATTCTGTCGTAAAAAAAAAATAATAATAAATCTTACCTATATCATCAGCGTTGTCCAGTAACGATTATCTCAGTCAAGTTATGTGAGTCAATATAGATTTCTGAAAACACATTTCAACACACTTGCAGAAGGTTTTCTTGTACAGCTATTTTTAGTTTACCTTAGTTAACACACTAAACTATAAATATCTTTTAGTGAGTAACTGGATTTTTAAATTCAGTCCAACACCTACACGAATACTTATGTTGTTTATCATAAATTTTGCTTGTTTGTCAATTGAAATTCCTTTCATTGATCTTCATTATCACCGGCACTTGTCTCAGAAATTTTTTTTCCTGTATACCTTAATAGAATATTCTTAATTATAACATATTATTTCATTATGCTGTATTCATTGTTATAATTGTTATAATGTACTGAAATATCCTTTGCCAATTATTGTAATTGTGTGTGTGTCAATAAAATATTTGTAATTTGTAATTGTATAATGATATGTTATAAGATAAGATAACTTTATTAGCACTAGTTAACACATTGACAATAATAAATGGTTATGGCAACAAAATACTGACAGACAAACTACAATAACATATGTAAGGAGTGACAGTGGATAAGTATGAGAAAAATATATAAAAATATAAAAAACATATAAATTATTTAAAAAAAGAAATCAAGTACCTTTTTATAATGAGTTTCTCACCAACAAGCATTCATTCAAATAGTTCACAACAATTTTTAATACTGTTGGGGAATTACTATATAGAATTGATATAAGCAAGTTATATGATAAAGAAGGTAATTTGTTGTTCAATAGAACATTATTTCATTTTTTAATGAGGTTATCTCTCACATATTTATAGGATGAACATTTTAAAAGAAAATGTAGTTCATCTTCAATGTCGCCATTAAATCGAATTATTGAGGTCTAGAAATATTTCAGGAGGTCACCGATTATTTATCAAGGATATCCTGAAACTCCTAAAATACAAAAAAATGAATAAATTCGCACCTGAAATTAACCACCGTAAGTTTTTTTTTTTGCTTTATTGTTCTGCTTATGCTGTATCGAATTCACGATAGAGTTTGTAAAAATGTGTTTTTACCATAAATATCTTTGGAATATTTTTGTATCAACTTTTCCATAATTCATCAAATGTTGCCCCATAGATCGTAGATCAATATCAAAACATTTTTTTGAGCCTAACTGTAGTTGGGTTTGTTTTTGTGTGTGTTTTTGTTTCTGCTGCTTTTTTAGTGAATGATATTGGTAAGGTCAGTGGCCACAGTATTAATTTTTGAGACTGTATTTATTTCAGAGTTATCTTTAAAAATGAGTTATATAAAATTAAAAGATAGACAGATGTGGTATGATTGCCAATGAAATAACTTTCCATTAGAGACCAAATGACATAGAAGCAAATATGGGTCATCGTACAGCCTTCGACAATGAGCAAAACGCATTCCGCATGCCCATAGAAAGCTATAAAAGGTCCCACATGACAAATGTTAAATAATGCAAACAAGAAAACTAACGGCCTGATTTAGGACAAAACAATGAACGAAAAACAAATATGATATACAGCAAACAAACGACAACCACTGACTATTACAGGCTTCTGATTTGGGACAGGCACGTATATAATGTGGTTGGTTTAACACATAAAAAATGTTTGCGGAAGCCCAACCCTCCCCTGACCTGCTAAAGTGGTGTGACAGCACAACATAAGAACTGACTATAAGAAAATCAGTTGATAAAAAGCTTGACTCATCAAATCGACACAAACCTATGGCAAACTATTTATACTAACTTCAAGATAGCTCATATAATATATAATATATCTTATATAATCTAGTTTTTATAAGATATCTTATATACTTTATAGGATATCTTATATACTTTATAAGTTAACGATATCTTATATATTTTATAAGATATCTTATATACTTTATAAGATATTTTATATACTTTATAAGATATCTTCTAAAGTTTATAAGATATCTTGTAAATAGATATAAGAAGATGTGGTATAAGTGCCAATGAGACAACTATATCCATCCAAGTCACAATTTGTAAAAGTAAACCATTATAGGTCAAAGTACGGCCTTTAACA